ACTGAATATTTCTCATATATCTTAATTGAATTGCATCCTTTCACTTATGGCTTTCGTTGAACATTTTAACCCTTCAACTACAATAAAATATAAATTTCACCCGTAGGTGACCATGGCGCCGACATTCATAGTAAATATATTTAATGTGTATGTATTAAGTTACACGCAATATACAGGAAGATGGTACGAAATGTACTGGAGTAGAAAAGATAGATACAAGATAGATACAATATGTATTAGAATAGTAAAGATTATTAAATTGAAAATTCATTTTAAAGCGGCATTCACAATTTTTGCGGAAATATTTTATATTAGCAACGTTATAAAAATAGCGTTAAGTTAATTATATATTAAAAGCTTAGACTTAAAATCGCCCAACAGCCGGTACAGCAGTCAGAAGAGTCACAAAGCCTCTTAAAGCTTTGTGAATAAAGTCTAGAACTAAATCTAGAGAACAGTACTTAATCTATTCTGATGACAGAAGTTCCATATGAAACAAGAGTCTTCTGTGCGTTATTAAAGCTGGACAGTCACAAAGAATATGCATGGTAGTTTCCTCATCTTCGAGGTATAATCTGCATTCCGAATTAGCAGATAATTGTAGTTTATGAAGGTGATATTTCAGTCCATAATGAACTGTAAAGAAACCCGTTAGGAACAAACTAAAATTACATTTTGAGAATTTAAGAATGTCTTTGTAGGAGTATGATATTATCAGTGCTTTGCTTTGTCTAAGTCCTGCGAAGTCTTCCCAGTACTACAACCGCATGTGATTTTCCCTTTCCTTGATAATTTGTTTTGTAAATTTAAAATAATATAATTAAATATATTGCACAGCACAATATTAATAAGTTGACCTTATATTTAACTTTGTTCTAAGGGTTCAAAATCAGTAGCGATGAGAACCCATCAAGTTCATTGATGTTCCTAGCTATCCAGTTCCATTTAACAGCTAAGGTAGACTTGTGTCTCTATCTTAGATACATAAATTATTCCAAAAATAATTACATTATTCAAATCATGCTCAACAATTCTTATTCTATTCTAACAGTGCTTAATTTTTAGAAGCACTCCATTCCATTTCTAATTAAAAGAGAGAATATGATTTGCCAATCAATATTTGAAAAGTAAACTGAATGTTCAGGGTATGCATCGTAAATTCTTTTTATTCCATAGCGTATACGTAACATTTCCGAACTGGTGTAAATGAATTTACCACCTACATATTGCATGAGCAACTCATGTTGGCATTATTTGATTTACATATTGATGCATATTACACATGACAACAGCAGCTGCTGGAGTCCAACGTAAGATGAATGTCAACAGCACTTGTATGCTGTTTTGGGACGCCTTCGACAGCATCAATGACAAGTAATAAGCATCACAGTTCCCATGCTTATTTGTTGTGGGAAAATACTACTAATTTTCCATTTTTTTTTTTATTCATAATCCCAAGGAAAATGTGGATGTACTCACATAACTGTACAGAGCATACTTACATACATTATCACTTTTTTTAATATGAAAAACTAATTTTTGTGGTGTTTGAAGAGAGTAATGAATACTAAATAGGACTTATGATTACTTTTATATACCTTTTATTAGCACGTTGATTTATGTGAATAATAAACCAAAAATTGTTTCAAATAAAATGATGTTTCAATGAAGGACACTTTTTTGTCTCCTGGTTTTATATTCATATTGAACCACATGAATACAATTAATATGTGCATAAACATCAAATTATTCATATCTATTGATGCAAATGAAATAAATAGAAAATATACTATAAAATTTATCTCATTTATATTAATGATATTTTATATATAATACTTTGTCACTTCATCTCCAAGAAAAGTTTAGGAGATGAATTGTTCAGATGAAAATATTAAAATATAATAAAATATATTTAACAAAAATATTGCATTACTAACTTTATAATTTCCTCAGTAATTTATTTAAACACTACATATTTATTTTAGACTAAATATGAGTTAATCGGAAATGGTATATCTTAACATAGAACGACCTACAGTAAACTCCATGGAATATCTTTCATAATCGATTTAGTTTTACAAATTAATTTATAAATTAATAGGATACAATAAATCTACCTTCACTCACTCTATCTCTTTCTAACTTTTTGTCAAACAGTGAGAGTCTTTTTCCCCCTCTCTCTTCCCTTCTACCAGACCGGTAAGGAAATGATTAGACGTTGGACTAATCATGAATCCACCCCCACTCTCTTTCTCTCACTTTCTCACTCTTCGCTTCTCTCTATTTCTCACTTTTTCTCCCACTCTATTCCTCTCTCTTTCACTCTACCAAGCCAGTAAGAAAGTGATTGGACATTAAAGTCAATTTATATGTAATCGTAAATAAAGATATAGCAAGTGACTGATAGCTTCCAATTCTTCTGCATCTTAGTAACTCATGCACAGCCCACTTGTCGAAATACGCAACTGTTTAAGCATCGACGATTCAGCACTCCAGTAATCAAATAAACTATCTACTATCTAATCTACAGTTGGGTTACTAGCTTTCTCGCAGTGTGAAGTAGTATTAAAAACAGGTCGTAATTTATTTTACTATTTATATAGCCTAAAATATATTAATAAGAAATTAACATAGATTAACATATAAATAAATACGAAAAGAAATAAAGAATACCGTCAACATTTGGTAGATGTAAATAACAGAGGAAACAGAAAATAGAGCGCTACATGATGACCGATTTGAGATGAAAATTAAAATCCTCATTAAAAGAAAATCTGAAAATCACAATAGAGAATATATCGTCAAAGTTATCTACATACAAAAAAAAAAAAAGAGGATTTGAAAATCACAATAGAGAATATATCGTCAATGTTATCTACATACAAAAAACAGAAGAGAAAGAGATTACATAGGGTGAGGAACCTGTTGTGCAAATAGAACTAATTAGAAATTCTTTGTAGATTGAAATATCTTATAAAACTAGAGAAAATTATCGACGTTTGCTTGATATAAAAAAAGAAGAGAACAAAATGATGCAGTGAGTGGTGACAGTCTTGAGATGAAGATTAAGGTCATTAAAAGTTCTTTGTGGATTGTGAGATCTTATGAAAAGTTGATAATATCGATATTCGCTAGTTTATAAAATTAGATGACATAGAAAATAGAGCCAACGTAAGAAAAATTAAACGGGGCTTATACTTTAATTAGAGTTAAATACTTTAAAGTAAAAATTTTATACAGCTGTATGATCAGCCAAGAAATCTATTAATTAAAATAATAAAAAATTTTGTTATTAAAATTTACTACTGTTCGAAGATCAAATTTAATCTGAAAAACTTAATAATGCTTTATTAAAAGTATTAATTAAAAATAACTGCATTTTTGCCTGTCAGTAACTGGCCTTAACAGCCAGTTAAGACAGAAAATGTCTTAACTTTCTAATTCATTTGGGCTTACTCACTTAAACATAGTCTCCAATCTTTCCAGTGTCAAAATAATTTGTAAATATTTCGATGGAATGCTGCTGCTGCAATATTATATACATTGTTACTTAAATACTGAAAATGAAAGTTATCTGATAACAAAACAGACCACTGCATCAGTAATTCCCAAAATAATCAAGAATCACATACATTCCAAAACAAACTAAAGAGCAAAACGGAGAAAATAGAAATAAACGGCTGCAGTTAAGGGATCCATGTTTAGTGCTTTTCGAGCATGAAACGAAATTGTGAACTTCCGCAAATGTCATTGCCTCCACATGAGCCCGACTTCCACATGTGTGGGTATATGTACATTATTGGTGTGAAAAAGAAAAACTATCTTTCACATAGTAGCAGTCGAAGCAATATATTTCTTATTGCTAGCATCCTTAGTTGCTTGTTGCAAGTAAGTGAACGAATGCCAACTTAAAGGATTTGGAATAGAATTGTTTAAAGATACAAATATACACACAGATACATCCAATCTAGAGTCATCTCTATGAGCAGGAAAATGCATAAAGCCCTACGACTTACGTAGAAATTAAAGAGTACCGAGCGTAGGCAGCGGGAGGACGCAGTGGTTCAATGTGGATATTTGCTGTGTGCATTGGAGCAAATGTGCAAAATAATTTTAACCGTGAAAATGAAAGCAGTAAGGCGTAAACAAGTTCAACGCAATTTCTTTTAGTTTTAATGGTTCAGTTTTTTTAGCTTCTCTTTGTTTTGAGTTTTCTTGAAGTATCTTTTTTGTTTTACCTACAAACGTTTTATTGAAAATTAAAGTTATTTGGCTTTATGTGCTCTAGAGATTTAAATTCACTTTAAGAACTGTAACACAAAGCAAACAGATTTCATTTTCTTTTCACTAAAGGAAGTTCATAATATAAATTTTTGGCTATATGTGAAGAAAAGTATGTTCAAGATCTTTAAAAATAGTTAAGATTTGAACGGCATTGATATTTTTAAAGTTTTGTAAAGACAGACTACTTAAATATGCATATAGACAATCCATATATTGATATTCTTCTTCTATTATTCTCTCCTCCCAGTGGAGTACAGGACTTCCACCATCCTTTTGTATGGAACTTTATTGCGTAGTTCTCGGCTGATGCCATTCCAACAATATATTCTTCTTCTTCTATTATACTCTTCTCCCAGTGGAACATAGAACTTCCACTATCCTTTTGTATTGAACTTTATTGCGTACTTCTCGGCTGATGCCATTCCAAGAATAATTTGCTTATGAATATAAACAAACCATATATAGATTAAAGCAAACCATATATAGATTTAAACACTCCAAACATAGATATAAACAACACATATATAGATATAGAAGATTTCAATGTGGATATAGATAATCTGTACATGGAAATAGGCAATCTATATATATATGTTTATAAACAATCAAGATATGAATATATCCAATCAATAAATGAATATAGAAAACCTTCATTGGAAATAGGGAATTTAAATATAGATATAGGCAAGCCATACATAGATATAGACAACCCAGATATGGATGTAGGCAATCCATATATGTATATATCCAATCCATATATGAATATAGAAAACCCACATACGGATATATTGAATTTAAAAATGGATATGGATACGAGCAATCCACTCATGGATATACATAACCCAGATATGGATGTAGGCAATCAAGATATGAATATATCCAGTTCATATATGAATATGAAAAACCCACATACAGGTATTGGGAACTTAAATATGAATATAGACAAGCCATACATAGATATAGACAACCCAGATATGGATGTAGGCAATTCATATAAGTATATATCCAATCCATTTATGAATATAGAAAACCCACATACGGATATATTGAATTTAAAAATGGATATGGATACGAGCAATCCACTCATGGATATACACAACCCAGATATGGATATAGACAATCAAGATATTAATATATCCAATCCATTATTGAATATGGAAAACCCACATACAGATATCGGGAACTTAAATATGAATATAGACAAGTCATACATAGATATAGACAACCCATATATGGATATAGACAATCTATATATGGATATAGACAATATATATATAGATGTAGGGATAAATATATGGATATAGACAAACTATATATAAGTATAAAAAACCGTATATGAATATAGAAAACCCATACACGGACATAGACAATTTAAATATGAATACAGGCAGACCATATATGGATATAAGTAAACCATATATGGACATAGGCAATTCTAAATCCATATGTTAGCATCAACTAAGCTTTTTATTCATTGAACACAATATCTTTTTTTGAACAATAACATGGTCTTCCAAATGCAACAAATTTAAACCAAATAGAGTCGGCAGAAACATAGGCCAAAAAAACTGTATGTCTATCTATAAAAAGTCGACTGTTAATGGTTCATAAAGTACCTCTTAATTCCGTGGAAACAATGAAGTTCGGTTCTAAAATTTATATTTCCAACAAAAGTTACGCACATGCAGTCATCTGCATGCGGCACACTTTGTTTTCTACTTTAACGCAGTCATTTTTTAACTGAATCGCTGCTATATTTTATCGCACTTCCGTTTTCAACACTTAACGCACAAATGCGGAAATATACACACAATTAAGCGCATATGTATATAAATTATAGAGTTACACACTCAGTTTCATATATTTTGGGATACAGATACTCTGTATGGAGGCCATACATACATCCGTGCTGTGTGTTCACAATTAACAAAATGTTATGATTCTCGCGGGACAACTTGGCGTATGAGTGCTGCAATGTAGCAACAAAAAGGCAACAATTCAATGGAAAAGAGATTTCACTGTGAAGCCAACAACAGTGGCAGAGATTTAAATTGTGTTAATTTTGAAATATATTTCAGCATCTCTGCTAATGACAGTTTCAAAAAAAAGGAAAAAAAAAGAGCAAAAAAAAAACAAAAACAAGAACTTTTGTTTAAGGATGCATTTATGTCGTGCCAAAATTTTTATATGCATAACTCACTTGACATGAATAACTTCCAGTTAGTAAATTTGGGTTAATCTTCAGTAGAATAAAAGGATATTGACGTCAATATGTTATTAAAATAGTATTAGAAAATGTTTAAAAAAATTAATATATTACTTTGCTGAAACAAAATATCTATTCTAAGAGCATATTATAGTAGAAAATTCAAACTAAGCTTTAATCTAACAAGAAGAAAAATCTTACCAGGCAGAGTCAGTACAGTAATAACAAGAATCATTTAGTGTTTATCACCCACAGATGTGGTATCCCTTTCAGTCAGAAAATGCAAAAGTTGCAAGAAGGAAAACGAAGTCGAAACCACTCAACACTATATTTCCAAATATCAGGACTGACAAGATGGAGGCATGCTACTGTTAATCCCATTATGATTTTTCTAAAGTCGTGACCCTATAAAGAGTTTCCTTCTATGTTTCATGTTATGTGTTATTTCCCATCAATGGCCAGTGAAGACTTAAATCTTTACGGTTCCTCTTCCAATCGAACTAACAGAACTGCCATCTTCACAAAATGAAGACATAACCAAGCCTATTGACTTATCAGGTGAACCAAAATCGGTGTAAACAGGCTTTTACTTAAATAAGTAAAACTGAACCAACCTGACAGAAAACCTTCTGGTTGAACTACGCCAACCGAAAAGTATAGTGTCTTTTTCGACATTGTCTATGTTTAGACCGTAGTGGTGTCCACACTCATTTTGAAGGCGTTTAAAATGTCTTCAATGACATTAAAACAATGTTCTCCTTATATTATAAACTATATATACTCTAACTTTATTTTTTTTTTTTGATTACTTTTAATTCAAAGAATAACTAGAAGTCATCCTAGCCAAATCTGTAGGGTAGATAATCGATAACAACTTTAAAACAATATTCTCTTTATATTATAAACTATATATACTAAATTTTTTTTTTTTTTTGTTTTGTTATTAATCTTAATTCAAAGAATAACTAGAAGTCATCCTATCTAAATCTGTACGGTATATAATTGATAAGAATGATACCTTCTTTTTATCAAAAGTTCAAGTACCAGCAAGTATTTGTGTGTAAGGTTATTAATATGCAATAAAAACCCTAAAAGCATTAACTATTTATGGGTATATAAATAAATGCAATATAATTATGTAAATAACTTAACAGATAACTTAACTATCTGTTAATAAACAAATGACTCCATTTCAGTAATGGGCTCAAAAAAATATTGTTTAAAGCATTTTCCTATATATCCTAGCGACCGATGATTGCACTAGTGTTTCACATATGAAATATAACATATATATACAAATACACTTCTGATAAACTTATGAGTACATACATTAAGACAATTATTTAATATAATAAAACGTACCATACAAAATACATAACTTGCATTTTATGACTTAATAGGCAACCGTTTAGTCCTTGTAGACAACCGTTCAATTACTGAAATTTAAGTCAATGCCTTAAGAAAACCTTCAACTAACAATATAAGCAAAGCATCCACCCCTAAAGATATTATAAAAATTATTTCCCAAGAAGCTAAAGATCACTTAGTGTTAGATACATATAGTATAATGTGTCAGTCCTTATATAGGTATAATAAATATTTATTTCCATTTCATTAGGCTTGATTGTATAAAGATATGTTCTCTTGAAATTTTTAATGATTTTGAATTCATGATGCACTAAAACCTATTTCGTAGCATTCGTTCTATGAATTAATTACTTTTACAGTCATAAAAAGATTTAAATAAGTTAACATACGGGGAACGTCAGCAAAAATTTTAATTGTTATTTTTGCATTGAAGACGAAAATAATAATTAAAACAGTTAAGCGAAATGTTAATGAAATTTGTTTGCAACTTTCGAGAAAGTTTTAATGAGTTTGTAAAAATCTCAAACTAAAAGTAAAACTTATTTTTGGTGACATTAAGATTTTGAGATTTTGACTCAGTATACATATTTCGTAATCCGTTAATTACATAATTAGTAATTAAAATCTAACCGAAAAGAGTCTAAACTTTTACGACTCGAGTAATGACAGGATAACAGGAATAAAATATAATTTGCATTGTAAAAAAAATATCTAAATAACAAAATTAAAATTTTAATATGCAAATATGTGTTTACATATAAAAATCTGTATTTAATATTTTTATTTTGCTTACATTTAAATAAAAAATGAACATATTCTTCCTTATAAAACATATTGTATTAATAATACAATATAGAAACACCTTCAATATATTGTATTATTAATATATATTATGAGTGGTCATTTAAAATATCTATTAGTCTAACTGTCAGGATATAGTATATGTAATCATAATAATGTATTTTTATATTCCCTTAGATTCCCCAACAAAAAAACATTTTTATTTTCTTTTATAATCTTTAATTGCACAACTTGACCTTCCGGTATTTTTCATGTTTTAACAACGTATATGTATTGTGTTCCCAGTCTATTAACTTGATTTTTCCAATTCCATCTGAATTATTTAACCGACATTTAGATAAATTCTAATACATCTTACTAAATAATACCCAAAAATTAAGACTATTAAGTCAGTCAAATCTAAGAAATGATTGCGTGAACCATTTAGACTTTCATACTAACTAGTCAGTGCGATTAAAATCTGCTGCTCGAATTATAAATTCCAATATTACTTATACTTATGGTGGGACGTTGGGACAGCGCACCGTCCAACAACTGGCCCCACTGAAGTGAAGGATTAGCCGAAATAGGCCACGAAGCAACTTGGATCGTTTTTCGTCCTTCTATTCTCAGATGTCGTTATTTAGTTAAAGCTAGAGTGGCTACATCTCTTGTTAATGCAAGCAGCTCATTTCGCTTGAGGTTGCCTGCCAAGTCATCACCAACCCAATGGTGTCCCAAGACAGTTTTCCTCTTACTTAACAGTGCTGGACATTGGCACAATATATGCACCACCATTTCCAATATTTAATTTAAGTAGTGACACGATAAGGAGTCACTCTGTCTGAAACCTCGTTTGCTATTAAACGGCTCGGAGAGGTTCTTCCCCATTCTAACGGAGCTGTTAGTGTTGCTCAACGTCATTTTACATAGCCGAATAAGTTTTGTTGAGATACCAAATTCAGATATAGCGGCATAGATAGCGCTTCTAGTCGTAGTTCCAAAAGCAGCTTTGAAATCGACAAATAAGTGATGTGTGTCTATTTGTTTTTCTTGGGTCTTCTCCAGGATTTCACGCACTGTGGTTATCTGGTCTAGCGCGAATTTGCCAATTTTGAAGCCACACTGATAAAGTTCAATCAGTTGGCTGACAATTAGCGTCAATCTTTTATATAGTACGTTCGACAGAACCTTATATGCGATATTTAAAAGACTAATCCCACGATAGTTGACACAGTTTGCAGGATCACCTCTTTTGTGCATTGGACAAAGCACACTTAAGTTCAGCATTATAGCTGTTTTAACAAAAGCAATACTATTATATAATATTAATACTAATACAATACTATATTAAATATTATATAGCTAACTCTTGCTAACTTTTTGAACAGACAGGTGGGACCATATAAGTAAGCTACCAAAATTCCATTGTCTCTTCTACAGCACCCTTTTTCCACATGTGTTATTACGCAAAATATGGGCTTAGTTACGATAACTGACTTCCATAGATTATTTTGGAAGAGCACAGCGTATGACTACGGCCATGTTTTCGTCTATTGAATTTTGCGTTATCTAACTGAAATTACTGAGAAAGCAGAGTACACCTATAAAAAACTTATAAAAAATTACACTGTCTTAAAAAGTTTCTTAAGAAGAGGTAATATTATTTTTTTAAAATTTTTATTATATAAAAAACTTTTCAAATTGTTATTGTTTTTTGTGTATTCATACGTAATGACATGGGAACAATAAAATAAAATTCTATTAACTGACACTTTGTATGAAAAACACAAACAAATTTAATTAAATTTACTCGCATCATTCACGATCTGTGGTTTTACTGCCATAATTACTATATAACATAGTGAAGTACATATGTGATGTATTCAGTTTTATTTCAGAAATATACTGGCAGCTTTAGTGCTGAAGGTGTCTAATATTAAAAATAAAATTAATTGCTTTAAGTCACAAAACTAACTTCAATCGAAAGTGCAAGATTGTATGGCAATAAA